CCCCCCCCCCCCCCCCGGACCACAGCAAACGGCAGCCCCGTGACTGACCCAGACTGTCTCTCGGATTGCCTTGGCCATCTTGAGCAGGAGCGGCCCAAATGAGCCGGGCTCCAGGCGGTTGGCCGAGTGCTGGACGCAGAGGCAGAGGAGGAAGGCGGGGGCCAGCTTGTGGCCGTCACCGCCAGGCTCGACCAGCGTCATGATTCTCTGCAGCAGCGCGTCCTCCACCTCAGGCTCGAACTCTAGGTGCAGCGGCCTCGGCCGGGGGAAAGCGGCACGCGTGCAGCCGGAGCGGGGGGTGCCCCGGTCCCGGAGCGCGGCCCCGCACATCCTGCAGCTTCGCGGCCCAGCCCGCAGCCGGGCCAGGGCCTGGGCGGGCAGGGGCTGGGCTTGCGCCGGGTCCTTGAACAGCAGCAGGTAGTAGAGGCCGAGGGAGAGCAGGTCCCCATGGCGCAGCACCACGGCCTGGCCCCCCACCTCCGAGAAGTTGACGGACACGGGCGCCCCAGGGACGGGCTCTAGGACCAGCCTGTTCCCTGGCCTCTCTGGGCCCGGAGGCCGGTGCCTGCGGATGGTGCAGTGCAAGGGCAGGATGTCCGGGGCCGAGAGGCTGACGCTGGGCTTGCTGGAAGGGGTCCTCTGGCCCACCGTGTGCTGCTCCCGGTTGAGCAGGTACACCAGGCTGTCCTGAAACGCAAACGCAAGACTTCAAGGGCCGGACACACCTCAGGCAAACCCCTCAGGGGGAAGAAACGAAAAGGTGGCCCGGCTCCAGGTGGCCGGCTCGCCATCCTGGGCCCCCCTGCCCCGGAGCCCTTCCTAACCTGCTGCCTGCCACCCACCCGCCCCCCGCTGGGCACCCACGGTCCCCGCGGGAGGAGGGCTTCCCGGAGCAGCCTCCAGGGCACACCGGACACCCTGGGGAGGACTCCAGCTGTGAGACACCAGAGGCCCGACAGGGCCAAGCTGGGCACTGACACTGGCTTATAGGCACAGCCACGTGCCGCCAGGCCCCGGCGTGACCTGTGCCGAGCCATGTGCCAGCACCCTCCTCTGTGGCCCCGGCTTCGCGAGGGCCGACGACTTCTCACGAGACGGAACAGGGACAGGACTGTAGCCTCTCCCGGAACCTGATGCGATGCTACCGTAAGAAAAGCTCCCTAAGAGAAGACGCAGGAGTCTGTGTCTCCTAGAGCAACGTGCCCTACAGGAGTGCAGAACGGAGGACACCAACCTCAAGGAGGGGCCGGCTCCCGAAGGCACTCGCGACATCCGGCCCCTGCTGGTATGTGCCACGATGGGCCCCCGACGCTGGCCTGCGTGTGCACGGGGCCCACCAGGCGTGCCCCTAACTTACCTTCCCCTCGTTCACAAGCTGAAAATCACAGCCGGGACGGAGACTTAACATACAGCATGCACAAAGGCACAACCGCGAAGTACACGGGTGCTAAGAAAACCCTCGCCTCTAAAGCTTCACCGCCACCCTCTCCCCACCTGTTTCTCGAGGAAACTCTTCCCCGACCTCTAGACGCAGAGTCAGCAGAGGACTCCTTCCTCTGAGATGCCGCCCTCGTGCTCGAGCACACGTCCTGGGATAGCCTCGCCCGGAACCCTCGTCGGGCCTCTCGTCAATTCCTATTGCTCGCCCAGCGCGAGGCCCGGTTTGGCATCGCTAAGACCTGAGCGCCGCCAGCCCCACCGCTGCATGGCGGGCACCGGGATGGAGCCGGGAGGGAGCTGGGCAAATCGGCACGAGCCAGAGAGCAGGAAGGGAGAGCCTACGGTGCAGAGCGGGACGAGGAACCTCGGAGGGCCACACCCCTCCGGCCAAGGGCTCCCACAGAAGTGGTGGGACATGCGGGCCGGGGACGGGTGGCGCATCTCCCTGCCTCCTCGGGGAAAGCTTCTCGCGGTACAGTCGAAGCTGTACGACACAACAGCTCTTGGCCAAGCAGCCACCGTCGTCTGGACAGGTAGGCAGACCCGTGTCGGGGACCCCAAAGGCATGGCAGGGCACGGCCCGAGACACACAAGGAAAGGGGCAGACAAGCAGTACCGAGAGGCCCGGCACCAGGTGAGCCCTCTCCCCCGCCGCTTCCTCCTGGAGCCCAGACATAGAATGCTCTGGAAACACAGCACAGAGGAAGCCTCCACTTCCCCCAGAATCCAGGACAGCCCTGCATGGTGGTCCCCACCACCCCGTTTCTCCAGCCTCATCACGCAAGCGCCTGTAGCGGCAGGAGCTCCCAGCTGACGCAGCTAACGGGCGAGGAGGCCGTCTGCCGCGACAACGCCAAGCGGGCACTGGGTCAGCTCAGGGCGGCAGGGCTGCGGGGGGTGGCTCACATGCTGCTGGCTGTAGCCCTGCAGAAGCAGCAGGTGGGGCGACTCGTACAGGGAGTAGCGCATGGCGTCCGGGCCACGGTCCTCGGCGCCCTGGGCGGTGGCCGAGCTCAGGCTGGTCTCGCTGACGGTGCGGCGCAGCCGGGATGTGGGGGGGCTCTGGGCGGCGCCCGAAGCCAGGGCCGGGGTCCCCTTGGCGCGGCTCCGCTGCAGCCTCCGGGCTTGGGCGTTTATCCCTGAAACGGAAGCAACACGGTTAGGTAAACAGAGCCTCCGGGGCCTTCTGAAATGAGACCTCCTGGGTCCCCTTCTAACGCTGGTCAGTCGCTGTTTTGTCAACTGCTATAGAGGAGACCGCGAGACTCGTGAGGCCGGGGCACCTCCGAGGTTCCCGAGAGGAGACGGGCCAGCCGTCCATGTCCAGAGACGCCCATGGGAACCCAGTGACCCACCTGGACCAGCCACCCGGCAGCCCTCCCCTCAGGACGCCAAACCCACTGCCACCTTCACTTCCCCTGGGCCACCGAGGGGCTTGTCCCTAAAGCCCTGCCAGGCCACCCGTGTGTGTGTGTGTGTGTGTGTGTGTGTGTGTGTGT